CATTGACGAGGGGCTGTCTGTGTGTCCGTGTGTCTATGTGTGCGTCTGTCACGCACTTCATCTCAAGACCTATAAATGCTGCGAGGCTGAAATTTCGGGAAGTTAATCTACATGCACGTGCCGGCCCCAATCCCCAAAATGGGCGCCAGCACCCGCGTGGTACCCGCGTACGGGCCCGCCAAAATTTTTTCAAGGTATGTTCATAACTCGGAGACCTGAGAAGCTAGAAAGCTGAAATTTTAGGGGGATGTTCCCTGTCCAAACAGGTATTAACGAGTTCAAACCCTGCCCGCTGGTAAGCGTGGTACCTTTGTACGGGCCCTTGAAATTTTTTTTCGAGTAAGTTGCTAACTGGAAACCTGAGAAGCTAGAAGGCTGCAGTTTTGAAGGGATGTTTCCTGACAGTCCTGGCGGCCAGTCTGAAATTCTTTTAGATAGGAGCATCTGCTAGAAAAACCAGTGCGTTAGCGACAGAAATCTGCGCGGGAGCTATGCAAAAAATGCATCTTCGCACGGGCAGCCCATGCGTTGGCCAATTATTTTTCGCTTGTAAGGGGAAAAGACACCAGCTGAGACGATAGCGCTGCATAGTAGAACCATCTGAAATCTTGGCCCCCCGCATCTATGACTGCCGTGAATTTTGCATGTAGCGTTATGAAAAAAATGCACCCTCAACTTCGTAATATCCGTATACGAAACTGAACGTTTTTGAAGATTGATTTTTCGTTTTAATAACGAGCGGAATTGCCCAACACTCTCGTACAATTCCTATTTTCTTGACTGTCTGAACAGTGAAAAGAAGAATAAAAGTGTTGCAGTGCGAATATTTGACGCACGTCCGAGCAGAGCAGAGCAAAGCTGGAAGCTATGCCTACAGATTTGAAAATGAACCGTAAAGACGCTGAAAAAAATGTGGCTTTCTGATCTACCTGGTTGCAGAGTAAATGGGTGCTAAATTTTGTCCGACAAAAATTAATTTTCATATAGCGCAAGATTTAGGAGTGTCTCGAAGCTGAGTTTAAAATCTTCAAGTTGCACATAGACACAGAATGTATTTTTAAAATTTCAGCTGCCAAATCGCCAGTTCGCCACAAATATTCTCAAAATGCTTTTGCGCGTGACGCAAGTCCAGTCCAAAACTCAGCTTAGGTGTACATGGCTCCATATAGACTATAAATATTCTCACAAAATTGCAGCTATTTTTTTTCGGCTCTTCCCGATTTAAGCACGGTGTCAACAACGAAATTTGTCATATCTCTACACGAATTATGTGCATACTTTATGACCGAATTTCGAATCTTTAACTCATACATGGACAGAGAACACTTTTATAAAGTTTTAACTTTCTATCTTGTCCGGTTCTCGAAATCGTTTGTCGCTAAAAAAAATTTACATTCGATAATTTTAAAACGGGGAGGTCGCTAACGGGGGTGGAACGAGCTCCAAAACTTACAGCTTTTAGTTTCTTTGGTCCTCGAGCTAAAGAGGGTGGCAAAATTCACTCACCCCGCAAACACACGCATAAACAAATGTTGATAACCTTCTAAAAATTTGTTTTTTTTTTTCTCATTGTTACAGCACAAAATAAAAAAGCTACGCTGGAACAGCTTAAAACTGTAAGATAATTTCCTTCAGATGCCAAGTTTGTAAAACAGTCTTTCGCAAAATCCGTGGCATAATATTTTGTTTTGGTTAAAGCTGCTTACATTGCGGTTATTATTTCTGAATTTCTATGCGGCATTTTTATCGCTGACTGGTTCTTCAAAAACGACGTCTCGATTTCAGAAAGATCTAGCATTGATAATAATTAGAGCAAAAGTAGATTGAATTCAAAGTTTAGGTTCCTGAAAGACACGCCACGATGGCTGATAAAGAAAGGCCGAGGGGAGCAGGCAGCTAGAGCAGCCGTTTATATCACAAAATGGAGCGAAAAATTAACACCTGAAAGGGAACAGCATATTACGGCAGTCATTCATAAAGCTGCGGATGAAGAGGTCTGCTAGTTTCGGGAATTTACCAAAATACCAGCCTTTTTAAGGAAAGAAATTTGTCTTTCTGCGAACTAGAGTTCAATCAAAATATTTTTAGCTTGAAAAAATGAAGAAGTCAAAGAAGAATTATTATTTTTATCATTTATTTTCGGACTGGAAACTTGGCAGCTATGCCGTGGTCTTCGCTACAAGCCTGTATGCCTACATTTTTGCGCAAAAATTTATGATAGCAATGCCCCAAGAAGGCATGATGATGATAAAAAATAAAAACGGTACTTAACTGTTGTATGGAGGGATCCAGAACTTGGAATGCCCAAGAATGTGTATACGTACATTGGGAAATATCGGCTTCAAAAAAAACGCGCCTACACTACCTCACATTTTTACACGTAAAACCGATGCGTTCCTGTAATTTTGCACTAATTTCACGGTTTTTGTCCTACACCATAATAAAGAGTGCGATGTCCTCTGCTATATTCGGGGACTGCCTCAAAAAATACTCATCCAAGTGATTTTCGTTAACTGCTCTCCTTTCGTCAATTTTCAAAGTGTGGCTTTGCGATGAGCATAAGAAATTACCGCTTTACTATTAGCTCACACAAAAAGTAGAGGCAACATGGGCTGTAACTTTTCAACAGCCCATGTTGCCTCTACTTTTTTATATAGTTTTTATGCGTTTTTGCCGTGCAGCGCTAGAGCGCTGCAACAGGCAGCAAAAACGCATATTG